AGTTAAGAGACAACCTTCTCAAAGTTTTTTCAGGCTATCTGCTGCACAATATAAAAAATTCAGTTTAGACTTTGAATTTAAGCTTTTGGCAAAACAATCTGCTTGAAGCCTATGTTCAGTAGATTAATTTAAATATAAAATTATCAATTTATTTTCTTCAATTTGTCTTAGGCATTTTTAGCAGAGAAGAAATTTGTACTTTTGCTACGCTTATGTAAGTACTTTTTACTTTATTCATTATTTACACACTCACCACTGCATTATTTCCCTAATTTGACTTCATTCATACAAATATTCAGAGACTTTAAGTGAAGTTTGAATCTCTCCCAATCACACAGAGCACCTTGACAGTTTATGAGAATTAGCAAATATGGGGGCCTGCATGCAGAGCAAAGAGTTTCAGTAAATGAACACCAAAAGATGTTTCTTTTTTAAAAATGCATGATGTCTTACTGATCCTGACACAGTGCTCTGATTCTGTGCAAAATAGACATAAAGACAAATTCAAGGATTAAAAATCAGCAATAACATGCTTGAAAGAGCTGTACAAAGATAAACCATGGAAATTTTCAAGTTCTACAAGCCATGGATGAAATAAATACTCTTCCATACAAACTGGTTTTATCTAGTGCTAGGTTTCGTGTGGGTGCTGTATACATTATGCTGTTCTTATTAATTCCTGTAACATCTGCAGGATTTTTGCAGCAGAACTACAAATGGTTGCTGAGCATTTTGGCAGGAGGTTCCTCTCCAACATTGCCAGTCTTATTCCTCTTGACACTGGCTGTGTGACAGACTCTCAAAGAGAAGGAAATCACTCCTGAAAAGGTGGGACTTCCACTTAAAAGAGGTGGAGTTCCACTTAAAGACCACCTAACTCTCATGGTAGAGCTAAAAAAAAAGAGATCAGCACAGTATTCATTAGGATGAGACCACTAGCACTAAAATTTTTGTAGGAACTTCTCCATGTTATAAGACAGACATTGGAGCAGAGCTGCCAGATAACTTCTGTGTTGCTTTTGGAAGCTAGCACCAATTCAAGCGGAGCGAGCCATGAGGCACCCAGCATACAGTGCAGTTGGGCAACCCAATCATCAACAATTCCTGGGGCCCAGCTAGGGGCACATGTATACGTTATGCACCCAGATAGCAAATTAACTCAACAGATGAGTGTGGAAGAAAAAACACAGCTCTGCTCCACCACACTGGGGATGAAGAAGTTTAAGAGCACTGCTAATACACACTTCACTCAGGTTGCACCTGAAGAGGGAAATGGACCAATACCTAAAGCAGATCAAAGTACTCAAAAGTCTTTCAACCTTGGTTTCCCATCAAGCCACATGCTGTCATGCAGCCTGCAGACAGGACCAACATAGACAGTGTTCCCTTAGGTGCTCACCTAACAGTATGCAAAGCCATCATATGCCACGGGACATCTGATCAGAACTTTGCATACTTACGAGTATTTAAACTTTTCATTGCACGGTAATATCATTATAAAATGTTATTACCAGCATTCTCCACACGAGATGATTAAATATTCTTTATGTCTGGTTCTAGTAGAGTGACTATAGAGCTTTGCTAGGAGACTGTTAATCTGCTTGCCTCAATTCATTGCTAAGCAATCAGAACAGGAAGATAGAAAGTTGAGAAGAAGTAAGAGCTCATACCCTGGGAAAACAACAAAAAACCCCAAAACAAAACAAAATAAAACAAAACCAAAATTGGCCTGAATCTTCAGGGAACGGCGAGAACTGAAGACTCACAAATGACTCTTGGCTCCAAATACCTTCCCACAACCTCCAGCTGATTTCAGCTCCTGATCCTACTCTAGGTTGCCACTCTAGTAACTACTGCTGACTGTTCCTTGCAGGTATCTGCCCACTTTTTGAACCTAGGTAGGTCTCTTCCCTTCACAATGTCCCTCAGCAGAATCTCACAGGCTTTCTACTCATTGCACAAAGAACCACAAGCCCGTGTTTGTTTTGAATCATGGCCTCATGCAAGTCATCTGATGACACCTACCTCTTGCATTAGAGAAAGCAACAAATGCCTCCTAACTCTCCCTATGACATCCGTGACTTTGCAGAACTTTCTCATCAACCCTCCAAGTCATCTCTGACCTAAACTTCAAATGCACAAAAGCCATTTCATACTTCCACTTATCACTGATTGCAAACTCTTAACCTTCTCTAGTTCTCATTCCTTCATGTAAAACAGGACACACCACAACTGTACACAGTATTCAATACACATGCAAATTCGAGATTTATACTGTGGTAGCATAAAGGTCTTCTCTGCATTCATCTTTGTCCCTTTCCTAATAATTTCTTATGTTTCCTTTATCTTTTTTGCTCTACTGAGCACTAATGTCATTTAAGGGAACTATCTATTGTAATCCTAGATCTCAGTCCTGACTGGTAACACCCAGCACAAAGCCCATTCTTTCAGATACGGAGCTCTGACTGTTTTGCCTCACGCGTATCATGTAGTATTTATCAACACTGAATTTCACCTGCCATTCCACTACGTTCCACTTAGGAATATATTATATGGCACACATCATAATGTCTGCTGCAGCGTGATGCCTATGACCAACTGAAAAAAGAATTAAAAAAAAGTGCCATAAATCTCATACACCACCCAGACCTGATTCACTGACGGATCATGTCCATCCTATGCAGTGAATGAGACAGAGCCCATTGGGAAAAAAAAGGTATTATTTAACAAAACCACACATAATTACAATAATACATACCTGGGGAAGAAATACTATTATTTTAATCACCAAATTTGAACTGCATGACTCTGCAACATTAATACCCATGTCTACTATGATTAATTAGTGACATGGCTTAGTGGTGGACTTGCCAGTCCTGGGGTAACAGTTGGACCTAATGATCTTGGAGGTCTTTTCCAACCTAGTTGATTCTATGATTCTAATTGCATCAAGTTACAAACCAGGTGATTAAGCTGTTTGAGCTGTGGTTTGTAGCCTTGTATTTTTGTATTGATTACAGGTGGACAGCCTTTCTCCAGCTCAGTCTCCTGAGACTCCCCAGCACACACTTTTCCTGTTAGATTTGCTGCAGAACCTTCTTACTGTTCTTTAAGTCACCCAGGACAACGACCTGTTATGCAGAACTAGCTTAAATGGCAACATAAAGAAAAAAATACTTATGAATATTAGGGATGATGTTTTTTTTCTTCTTTCAATATTCCCATGCTTTGATATTCCTTCAATTGATTGCATACTTGTAGATTTTATTTCTATTGTACTTCAATGCTGCAAATATTGAAAAGCTGTGCTTTTGACAATACAAAAGCAGTAGTTCTTACTCGAATTGATCCTAGTGGGAAAAACCAATAGATTTTACTTTTACTGCATTTTTTGAACAATATGTAAACATACTGGAATTAATTCATACTGCAAAATGATTCCTTAGTAGTGCCTAATTCCAAAGCCAGAGATCATTAATCATTTCAAACAAAAATTTTACTAAATGCATGTTTCTGACAGGTTCATAAAGTTGCTAAAGCTAACATTACTCTCTAAAGATCACAGGAAGTACACAAGACTGATAGAAGCACTGATTCGTGTTATCCAGAAATTATTTTCTCATGATGCCTACTCACTCATCAAGTGGATGAACCCAACTTTAGACAAAGTGAACACAAAACCAACTGTAATCAATGGTGACAATTTACTGACCTGCACAGAATTTCATGAATGATTTTAAGATGACAGTCTACAAAGCAGTTTCTTGACATTCCAACAATTATAATGGAAAAAAGGCAGGTGTTAATTTACAGTTGAAGTATGTTTTTTCCTACAAAATCAAAATGAACCGTGGGCTTCAGTGTGCCAATGCAAAGTGAAAGTGATTTTACAGACTTTTAAAAGAGTTGTGTTTTATTTGTAACATAACCTAGGACAGGCCTCAGTGGAAGATATTAATATTTCAAAGGGTACACAGCAAGGCAGCAAGCAAATTCAAAACTTAAATCAAGTATTTTAAGTTGCACTAAATACCTCCAGTCATCAGACAACAGAGCTGCTTTCCAAGGAATATTGAGTTCATGCTTGCCATAATTTATTTAAGCACAACTGCTCTTATGTAGGCCAACTTGGACATAAGAAAGGTAATTTTCAAAATAAAATCTTAAATTTTAAGTGAATACTCAAAAATAAAACAAAAGAAAGGTATGATCAAGATGTTTAGCAGATTGCATATATGTAAAATATTAATCTTTGAGAAATAGGCTGAACTAGAAATATCAAGGAAATAGCTGAATACAGGAATCCAATCAATAGATGATGAACTGAAAATGTTGAGTGATAAATATAATTCTGATATAAGTCAACAAGAAAATCTACCGTTGGTTTACACCATGATTGTTCAAAACCTCACTGGTTTGGCAGCCTCCTTAGATTCTACAAAACAAAGGCACAGAAGCTCACCTGTTTCTTGAAGGTATGTGGTATAGTACGCAGTCCACATTTGCTAGGTTTTGTGTTTTGTTCTAAATATATTTCTGAATAAATTCTCATCCTTTCCCTCCTTCAAGTATATGTTGTGGTGGTTGCTGGCAAGTCCCCAGGACAGTGTGGTGTATAAGCAGCCTAAAAGATGATTTTACTCTTTGGTGACATAAATTGCTTCATTTGTCACAGCAGGTATGCATGTGGTGGATGTATCTGATCAGCCTGTCCTGAGTTGTTTTAGTCATTCTTACGGGTCAATTTCACTTTCAAATTAAATACAAGTATTTTCATAATGTCCATATAACTGGAAGTCAAGATGCCAACTATCTGTGAATGCTGCACTGCAGTGTCCACACAAAGGCCAGGTTTCCAGGCTCAAACCACCAGCAGATCAAAGAAACAAATCGGAGGCTATTTAGGATTCAGGTAAGTATGTTCTTAAGAAATATTTAATATACTTTTTGAGACCTATGGATCTTATTGTTACCTCTCTTTTGCACAGCATATTGCTCACCTGGTGGACTCCCATGTCCTGCTGCAGCTGTAGCAATGGCAAAAGCAGAAGCAGGAGAGACCGAACAGTGGGTGTTGTCAGCAGTTTGGACTGTAAAGGAATAGGCAGGGAAAAGTTAGCAACTTCTACATACTTTTTTGTATTTTTCAAGTTAAGCAACAATAAGATATTAAATCTTCACTAATGCTTATTCTTTGTGAGCATTTTATGCTTTCATTGCCAGAGGCCTTTGTGTTAGGGGAAATAAAAATATCATATTAACATTTGTGGTTTAAGTTTTATTTCCATTTCACTATAATTAATGTTGCTATGGAAAAAATATCTAAGACACTTCCAAGGTGAGGAATAAGCAGTAATCAAATGGCAAAAGGGGGGAGACAAAAAAGGGGGGAAGGGTGAGACAAAACCAATGGTGTAGAAAAGAAACCTAAACAAAAAATCGTATTAGAGAGCTAAGCACATAAACCAGCTTCTGATAGCTAGGTTCACCTGTTTTCCCAGTTCACTGCCTAGGACGAGTACAGTTTTGCAAATTTTATTTGGCTTTCTCTATAGTGAATGCTATGAACATTGCTTCTGACCACAACTCATATAAGATTCAGTGTTCCACAGAGATTCCAACTCCCAAATCTTGCCATTGCAACGTGAAAGTGCCCTGTAACAGATGATTACTATTGGTTTGAAATTAAATGTCTCAGCAACTTCCTAATAGTTGATAAGACTCTGCTCTGGCTTTGTTTTAATTCCAAGCATGAAATAACTGCCTAGAAATGTGGCTTGCATGAGATGGCAACATTTTAAGCATTCATGGACATAGCTCACAGCTCTGCTAATGATTACAAAGAGCCACGTGAGAGCTATTCGAGGAGCTCCAGCTCTCAGTTTTCCTTTTCAGTTGAGCAGTTTATTCAAATTTTGGAATGAATTATGTGACACCATCTGTAAATGTTCAGTCTTATACAAAGAAACAAGTCACAGTCACTCCCCATTGACGATAATGGGTGTTGTGTATTTCATGATTACCTATGGTGCCCAAAATATGCCCCCTTAGTAGCTGAGAGAAATCTGTGATGGTTTTGAGATTTTTGTGAGAATAGGACTTATTCAATATCAGTCTTGAACTTTGGCACATCCTGCTTGAACTATTTAAGAACATTTGTCACAGCGAAGTCCCAGTATGCTTCCATACATTACTATACAAATTAACCAGTGTAATTCACATTCTAATAGCTTTTTTTCAATACCTGAGAAATAAGAAAATACAAACAGAACATATTAATAAATCATCATTCTTTTCTAACAGCCTGCAAAGATTACAGCTGCAGTATTTAAACTCTTCAAAGTGACTGACAGGGGAAAGAAACATCAGGCTCTCACCTCCTGGCTGACGATAGCGGAGATGACGTGGTGTCGAAGGGGATCTACACGGGGAAAGCTCTGCGGTGTCCACTGCTGAGGTGCTTTCAGGAATTGTCCGATCCACTGACACAGACTCTAGAACTGCTGCTTTAAAACAGAATCAATGTTAATACTGGGATGCTCATGCATAATTTACAACTCTTTCATGTGTATAAACGTGTATAGGACTTGATGATCCTAAATGTCTTTTCCAACCTAGTTGGTAGTCTGATTCTATGGTTTTACATTATTGTACATTAATGCAATAATATAGTATATAAAAATAAATACGTAACAACTTATGTTAATTATCAGATGTATTATACTGTATTATATTAATTTTATTATATTCATGTATTTATAAAGTACAAATGTTCTTTGAAAATATCAAGAGGCCATAGGCAACTACAGTATGGGGATTTAAGATATGTTTTTTTAAAGAACAAGAGCATAGTTTGATTAGTTTGTCTTACAGATACTGAGTGCCTCTGCCAAGATTTTAGAGTATGTGGATCTTTGAAAACACCTAAAGACAGAAAGTCTGTAAAGTGATCAACTTTGAACAACGTGAGCTGTGCTGCATTGATAAAAAAAGAATATGGACATCAAAGGGGACTTCACTTGTTTAAAAAATTAAATTTAATTAATTAAAAGCACTTAATACCAGTGTTTCAACACCAGCCTAGTACCACTAAATACCATCTAACACAAAGTTGTTTACGTTTAATCTCAGGAATATAGCTGCTTTAAATGGTAATGCTTCTGGAATTTTTGCGTTAGGAAGACTCAGTAATAATTATCCTTTGGGTGGAGTTAAAGGACTGGGAAAGTTTTGCATCAATGGCATAGCCACATAAAAGCTCATAAATAAAGAACTTGGTGAAAATCAGCAAATTGTCAGTTTTCAAAATAGCTTGGAGAAGATGGCAGAATTTGCAGTGAAACACACATGTAATAAGGATAATTGAAGTCATAGGTTTTATATGAGCTAGGAAACGTTTTCTGTGTTGGAAAACTGTGTAACTAAAACCTGCTTAATAAAATAGCCAAACAGCTCTGGAAGGTGTATTACTCTATGGAGAAGTTCTTCTATCAGAAGAACAAAAAGGGAATGACAGAAATACAACTCCTGAAATGAGGGAAAAGAGTCTGATAAAATATACATTTGATATGAATGACAACTGTGACTGCAGCACAAACATTATATATAGAATATATATATATAAACAAAAACTTTGCAAACCAAAAACTTTCAAAACAAACAACTGCCTTGGAAGTAGGTGAAGAAGGTGGTAACTCCAGGATGGAAATGGACAACACTGAAGAACAACAACCACCATAATAATATGTCCTGGGGAACAGAATCTGTATGGTTATATTGGATTTAGATCAAGCCACAGTTGTTTTTTTGGAAATCAGGCACTACCAGAGCAACAGTATTAACTGTAATGGGTTGGTAGTTCCTGATTAAGTAGAACTGGCCTCCTTACCCAGGAAACTTGGGAAGTGAAGAAGCACATTACATACGGTAAGAAACACGCAGATTAACTTTTTGTAGTTCTATTACTACCCGTCTCCATTCTCCTTGTGAGGTTTTTTTTTCTGAACTTACTTTTCTTCCCCTACATGCTCATGCAGCTGGGTTACAAAAGGACTTTCCCCTGCAGAACTGAGCTACCTCGCTCCAAACTCCAAACTGAGTGCAAACTGCTCCCCAAAGGGACTGGAGACACTGCACAGAGAGTTATTTAGCATTTATATGAGGTTCTGGCCATTTCCAAATGTTCCTTACACTGCCCAGATGACACTCCCAGCTTTGATAGACTGGAATACAAAATACAAATACCTCTGCAACTATGCCTACTGCTAACACTAGGCCAGAATAATCTCTCTTTACTAGTTTCCTTTACAGTATGTAGCAAAAACCATTATGTCTAAGACTGCAGTTATCTGTGTACAATTAATTTTAATGCATGGTCTATATTTTAGGACATGTTGTGCTATCATATTGATTTGAATGTGGTTATATTAACACACAAGAAGAATTTGCTCAAATCTGCATACTAAATACTATGTTTTACATATGTAAACAGTCTGTGACACTACTCATTTAATAACATCCAGTGTAAAGAAATATAAGGATTAAGTGTAACAGCCAACCAGCATTTTATGAAAGCATAAAGCATTGGCAAGCATAGACTCCTATAATGCTAAGGTGGCTAAATTGCCTGTTAAAAGCATTTTTTTGTTAAACAATTGACTGCATTCTGTAAAAGCAATCCCTCTGCATAGTACAACATCAAATTTCTTACCAGGGCACTTATTTCAATTCATCAGTAAGGAACAGAAATAATGCTTTTCTCAGTGTATGTTTGGTAATCTTTTTCTTCTTTCCCCTCAGATTACATCAATTTTCATTGTTACAAGTACTCGCAAGTAAAGCTGGGCTAAATTTTGCTCAGATTCAAAGTTCAAATTCCTCAGACTGTAAATCAGGCCATGTAAGATCATTTCTAAAGATGAACTTCAGGAGCAAAACAGATTTTTTTTTATTATTATTTCTTTATTTTCTGTTTAATGTAACAAAGATTAGAAAAAAATACCATATAGTTCTAATTCCCTCCATCCCTCCATCCCAAAAGAGCAATGAGAAATAAGCACACACTTATGCATCCTATGAGATTAGAGCTACTTTCTCTATGAGAAAGTATGCCTCCTGTGAGATTAGAGCTTTGCCATCTATGAGTACAATGATCCCCTTCTAGATGCCAACATTGAGGTTTATATCAACTAACTTCAGACCTCTGGAAGCAGTACCTATTCCAAGGTGCCTTACACAATCCATAGAGGAAAACAGGCTTTCATACAGGAGCAATTAATCTATTTTAGACATGTACCTTCTGGATGGATTACAACCAAGTGGTATGAATATCACCAATGTAGCAAGTAAATAACATGAATTATTTGTTTGGGTCAGTTTATGGAAAACTAGTCCTGTTATGTAAACATGTTAAAGCTGTTCTGTCTTTACATCCGTATTTCTTTCTAACTTAATGTTTTACTTCCTGCAGTAACAGTACAACCCCAAAATCTTTCACCTCAGGAAACACAACTGGCCTTAAATATTTCCTTCTGCCATTCTCCTTATCACTTTGCTGAAGTGAAAACAAACATGGCCATTCTGTCATACTGCTTTTCCTACAAAGAAGGATAACAAACAACTCATCACAGCCTCTACGAGAGAAGAAACAGAGAGCAAAGTATGGTTTCATAACACAACTTGTGCTGATCAGGACTTAGACAAGCAAAACAATTCAGCAGTGATCTGATAGAAGTCAAGCCTACCTTAGAGACAGCCCCATTTATCAAAAAAAGCATTCAGTATTTTGTGGGTATATAATACCTCTTCGAATGCTTCTCCTCAACTTGTTACAGAGGTCAACACGAGGGTTCTCCAGGCTGTCCTCTATGGAGCCAGGGCTTTGCTCAGGAGAGGAGGGCCCTCTGCTAAGGTCCAGTGGTACTTTGCTACCTGACGGTGGTGGGGAGGTGGCCGGGCTGTAGGTTGAGGTAGGACTGCTTGCCATAGATGAAGCAGAGAGGTCAAGGGCACCAATCCGTGAATTCAGTGGTGAGGTCAGTGACAGTTTTCGGGCTCTGACAGGTGAGGATGTTCTGGAGAGCGACAAGGGAGGAGGAGAAGAAAACTTGCGACAGAGATGTGGCGACTTCCCATCGGCCAGGTACTCTCCTCTATTGTTTTGATTAGTAACAAAGAACAACTCCAGAGACCTGAGAGTAAGAAACAAAAAAAGCAAAATATGATAACAGATGCCAAATAGATTTAAGAGTGAAAATACTTGCAAACAAGTTTTGGACAAATATGCATGGCACTGCAAAATCTGTATGACACTTAGCCCTCAAAGCCTAGGAAGAAGGTTGAGACAGACTTACCTGAAAACTTACATCTTATTAACAAAGAAAAAACTTTATTCTTAGTTAATTTATGTAATAGAAAATGATGGTAAAACCCACCAAACAAAAAAACAAAACTCAAAAAACCAAAACCCAACAAATTACAATTCCATAAGAAACCTATGATTAAAAGGGAAAATCCCCAGAGCTCACCTGACAGGAATAGAAGTAAAGGGCCGTCTGTATATGTCTGAAAGTTTTTCCAACACCACAGCTGCAGTAGTAAATATGCGGTAAGTATGTAGGAAAGTATTCAGAAAATCAATGCTTAGAAATCGCAGGTCTGTTAGACGCTCCAAAAGGCGCTCAACGCTTGCGTAACGGATTTGGGGTACTTTGCAGGAATTCAGTGTTTTGCTGAAGCAGATATCAATGTCATCTCTATGAAGACGAGCATCAGATCTACACAAAAATTAAATTTAGAACAATTCACCAAAACCTGATGATCTTGAAGGTCTTATCCAACCTAATTGATTCTATGATTCTATGATCATGGTACAGTAATGGCATCATTTTAGCTGCTCCCGTCAACATAAAGGCATCGAATATCCATGCATTCTTGTATTTCAACACCACCAGGAAACTGTTAATCTCTCACGACACCTGCTTCCATTCAGTTATAATTTATGCCATAACCAAGGGAATTTAAATTTTATTTCTGGCAAATAATTAATTTACGTTTCAAAGTCTAAGAAACCATTCATAATTAAATTTCTGAAATGGAACAGGAGGTAGATTTGTCCCCTCTTGTCTCTTTCAGGCTCCTGTGGCTTGTACACCAATATTATTAAAAGCTCACTATAGAACAATAGTGGACTGACTGCATTTTTTCTGCTGGGATCTAGCTTTATCTAAAATAAACCAACGGACCCTAGCAAAAGACAGCAAAATTAGCCTGTTAGCAAATCTTAAGGCTCACCTGCAAGGTAACACTTGCTGTCAGGCTCCAAGAATTACTTTTATTTTTTAAAAAGAAAAGGGTGCAGCATGAAATATCTCAAATTTCAGAGCAGAAACTGTGGCGAGTGTTTGTTTCAGTGGAAAAGTTAAAAAAAAGGACTAAATTTGGTTTGGCTATCAAACAAAAATCAGTCATTTACATAATGCTACTCATAATGCCATTTCTCCAATTTAGTTTTGCTTAACTTTATCTAGTTGAAGGCCTAGTTTGTAAAGAAAAAAAAAAAAGAAGTATGGATACTAAGTAAATCATCTTTCCATATTGCCATAGCTTTTCATTAAAAATTATTGGATTTTCCTAGAATACAGTATGAAGACATTCCTCACACTTATACATTGAATTACATGTAACTTATACATTACAAAACAATCATTCTTTCTTAAGTTGAGTCCTCAGGAAAGTAGCTTTGTTCTTGTTTTTGTTTTTTTATTTCATCCAAAGACATGTGACTCTCAAAGTCAATGTGTACTGAAAACCAGATGATTTCCTTTGCAGGAGGAGAACACTAGATTTGTGTCTGTTGTTAGGATCCTGTATTTTTTTCAGAATTAAGAGTTCTTTCTCTTGACATCGGGAGTAAGACCTTGCTGTACTCCGCAATTTGAAAACAGATGAATGTATTTTTAACATTCAGCAGGTAACAGAAGCGTTTACACACTGGGGAGTTCCTGAAATAAAACTGAAGACAATAAAATGCCTTCTTTTTCCAGGGATCAAAGGTATGTGCTCTTTCACTGTATTCACACATTATCTCTTTTTCATTTCATATACAAAGAGAAGAGAGGCAACAACTACAAGAGGCATCTGAGAAAACTTCATGTACAGAGTACATCCAAGAGAGAGAAATGGGCTAGCGACAGATAACAGTAAGAAAATAAATAGTTATATTTCTATTCCTAGGTTTTATTCCTTGATATTTATATTGTATAACAGTAGGTAAAACTCATGCAAATACAGATCTGTAGAGGTTTCAAGAGGTAAAATTGTGTTAGAAATTGGAACTGAAAATTGCTCTCTACAATTAAAAAAATGCTTTTTTAAAAAATTGAAAGAATTCAAGGGTGAAAGAAGCAAGTTTATGAACAATGATGTTAACTTCATGTGATCAGTTAAAATTATGAGAGAAATTTTTTTGTTTTTCCTCAGAAATAAGAGAAGTGGAAGAAAAGATTTGGCTAATATAACAAAATACCTTGGAAAATTATACTTGTCTGCAGTCATCTAAATTCTGAATATATTTTAAGGTATATTCAATACAATTAGGAGTGGTATGACCAAGAAAAGCTAACAGAAAATAAAACTATTCATCTGATGCATAACTGAGGTTACTTCACAAATAATGGAAAAATCTGAGCTGTAATCCTATGCAGTCCAATACTGTGAATTGACAGTTTACCATTTTGAGTCAGTCCTATCATTTCAAGAAAGAGATTTTAAAAGGTACATTTTGGGAAGTAGCATTAAATCTATTCAATAAAAACTGGGGGGGGGGGGGGGGAATTTAAAAGGTTGCATTTCCAAAATACACATTCTATTTTGTTAAAAGTTAAAACCAACCAAACACCAAGATATTTAGTACACTGGGGAAAAAATGCTGCACTTACTTGATCATATGTGGCACCGTGACCTTAGAGTTTTCTTCAAACACTATGGTCATTAAACCATTGCACCTTATATTATCAATGCACTGGAAAATGAACATTGAAATCAGTTAAAATCAATACACAACATAAGGGGACTTCCACACTTTCCCTTCCACACTTTTCGTATCACTATAAACTTAAGCATAGTTTCTACAGGTATGGACTGATTGACACAAGGTATTTTCATACATGAAAGTCAGTGAATCAAGATTTATAGCAGACAGGCTTCTCTAGTCTTCTGTCTTTGATTTGCACATCTGCAAGTCCACACATATTTACCAGCACACTCAGGGTATTCAGCTCAGCATCTTTTTTTTCACATGAAGAAGTATTTTGAGTTGGAAGTGAAACTTCCTTTGAAGTTCCTTTGAACAGATTTAAATACCCCTAACAATTTGTGAAGGAGTATTAAGCTTGAAAAATCAATACTGCATGGAAGTTAAGACTCCTTTATACATGAACAGATACACTAATACTTAACCTTTACCCTGTGCAAAAAAGACCAAAAATATAAACAGTTTCTAGAAATACACTTGTAAAACCGAATTCAGGTGGCCCTGTTGTTCTGACACATAGATGAGAGGGTGCTGCCCAGGTAGTTCCTTGCAAAGTCTTGTATAAATGTTTCAGGCTAGGCATTAGAAGTTGGAAAGACACTTCTGGGGCATGGCCTCAGCACATACTATAGAAATTGCATGCAGTCCTGTGGCTAGTAGAAGTATACATACTAGGGGTGTGTAAGCTGCTCTTCAAGCCTCAGAAAAGCTCACTGCTAGTGGCACATAGGGGTAGTTCAAAGCCATTTCTACACTGTTATTTTCTGGTTTGTTCTTTTATATAGTTAAGACAACCCAGCACTGTAAGCCTTGCTCTTGGAAGTCAGCATAAAGTCTGCCAGAGGATCAGGCTTATACATTCTACAACAAGTACTTCCTACCTAATACTGTAACACTATTACTTTATAATACTTTGTAGTTTTATTTGTTGAGTATCTTTAATATATATATGTGTGTATATATATATATATATAAAAATATAAATACTAAGGTACATTTACCTTGAATTCAAGAATAAAAATTGCTGGCTTTAGAACATCTCATAGCAAAATAATGATTGATGTTAGATTGGTCAAACAAGATAATCAGAGGCTTCTTAGTTTAAAAATATATCTACATAACTATGCATTTAAAATATGATCTATGTAGCTAGATGTGTTTTTAAATTCAGGTATTTAAGATTATTTGAAAAGTGCAGTTTTAACAATTCACATTATGATTTTAGCAAATTGTTACCTAAAAGCACTGAAAAAAACACATCAAATAAAAATACATAATTTCCCCCATGTGAATTTTAAATTCACAGAGAAGCCCTTAGCACCAATCATAAAACTGCCTGAGGTAATTCAGCACTCATATGCTCAGTCTGCACTGGCCTAGCATTTTACCACCTCCCTGACAGTAATGGGGATCCAGGGTGGAAGGACAACAAGCTCAAACAAGAAGGGAGGCTTCTCCACCATCAACAAAACCCATGCGTTTTTCATAAAAATTGTATGGTTTGCTTGAAAGGAATATAAATTCAAGAGGTGTCACTAGGAACACAGAAAAAAAAATGACCAACAATTCTTCTGCATATATAATTTAATAAGAAGCTCAAATCTAAACAAGAAAACTAATGCTGTGACTGAATGGCAACTTTTTTACTGGGGCAGCTACAGCTTCTCTGGGCAACTTATTCTGGCAGGGCCTCACCACCTTCACAGTAAAGAATTTCTTTTTAATACCCAACTTAAATCTTCCCTGTTTAACTCATTGCCCCTTGTCCTGTCACTACAGTCCCTGATGAAGAGTCCCTCTCCAGCATCCTTTATAGGTCCCCTTCAGATGCTGGAAGGCTGCTATGAGGTCTCTACGCAGCCTTCCCTTCTCCAGGCTGAAAAACCCCAGCCTTCGCAACCTGTCTTCATACGGGGAGGTGCTCCAGCCCTCTTACCATCATGGTTTTCAGGAGACCAGCGGTCTCACTCATTTAGAAGTTCTCATGCATTATCTGTTGTTTCACCCCTAATTTTCTTCCTCCAGCAGAAGTGGCATGCTTCTTGCAATATTTTCTTCTTCTTTGCTCTCTATATGGAGTATACACAGCATCTTGTGCCCCTTCTTATCCCTTTAGCTCTTTTAAGCCACTGCCTATCCCCTCAGCATCTCTTGCTTCCCTTCCTAGAGAAGTCATGTTTACCTCTGCCTTGCTAAAACACTCTCAAGCTTTCTAGGCACGCAGCTCTCCAGTGAGCTGTGGTGCTTTTCAGCTCTTCCCCTAATACCACAGTAGGGTTGTTTGGAGCTGAAGTGGTTTGGAGGAGAAGAACTGGCCTTTGGAGCAGACCCAACTCTGATCTCTAGTCTACATGGCCTGCATTTGACTTTCTCATTTAAATTTAATATTACTTAGGCTAAGAATGGACTTATTCCTGTGCATCCCATGTTCCAGGCTAGTTCTTAGGAAATCTTTCTTACACCCCAAATAATCCCAATACTTTCGTATGTAAATGGAACAGCATACATACTGAAAATCCATTTTGTAAAAAATCTGCAAGCACGTCAGTCTGTAAGACCTGTATGCACTGAGGTGCAACTCAGACAATATTTTGAGATTTGTATCTTTTTTGTTTTGTTCGTCTATAATAGTCCAGAAGAAAGTACCTCAAAATACTTATTTTTAAGCAATTCCTACTAATTATGACTCCAATTCACCTGGAGATGTTGCCAGCAATAGTGGCATCTTTAGGAATCCATCAAATTCCACACTGATATTTGTCTAATCAACTGTTTATCTTGATAGTGATAGAGAATAGGACTAAAATTCAGAACTATGAGAAATCGATGTACTGTGCCCCATGGCAGGGGGTTGGAACTAAATGAGCTTTAAGGTCTCTTCCACCCAAATGAGCTTTAATGTCTCTTCCAATAAAAATCATTCTGTGCTTCTGTAACTCTATAAATAAAACAGCAATGCCTTAATTCATATCTGGTTGCCTGAAAGTTCAGATTTTTTACAGTGCATTCAATTTCTTTCCCCAAACAGATTCCTGTAAAAGTTTTTCTGCTATGTTTTTAGCCAAAAGCCCGCTTTTTTTTTTTATCCTTGACATTGAAGTATTTTAAATCACCATTTTTCTTCATTCACAATAAAGACAACTGCACATTGCTAGAATGCTCAGTAATTATTAGTAATGGTTTGTTAGTATTCTTTTTGGTGGGAAACAGGGTTTATCTTATTTTCTCACTGCATGGGAGATGATTATTGATGTGATATGGTATTGTTTTCACTCTCAGGACTCTCAGATGTTTTCTGATCTGTGTGAAAGTTAAGTAAATCAAAATACATATCTGGATGGGCTCTCCTTAGGCATAAAAAATACTACCATTACTATTGTATTTGTCAGCTGACAATTTTGTATTTTACATCCCATCTTTCCCAGTGAGAAACAGCTGTCACTGATGACTCAAACGCAGTTACAGAATTTTGAGGAAAACAGATAACACTAAGGGGTTTTTACATATATTACAACAAATCAGCCCTCAAGAAATCAACATCTCTCCTTTGGATTAGTTTTCAGAAATGCAAAATAACCTAAGATTTCAATACAAACATTAATACATTAAACTACCTGACTTATGTCACTTGTCCATGCAGCTTTCTCCTGTCGTGATGGGGCTAAAAGGACAACAGTAAAAGAAGGAGCATCTGTAGGTTCAACTACAAGCTTGAAATCTAGGTGTCCAAACACTTGTCCAGAACTTTTTGCTTTACAGCCAGAGGAGAGAAAAAACCCAAAAGTCAAAATGTAAGACTTCAGACTGTAAGACAAAGAAAATACTTGTTTCATTTAAAACTGGAGTTACTTTAAAACATCTCTCTGACAAAGAGCAAACCCAACTGGGAATCCAAAATTTATACACAAAATTTAAAAAAAGTTGCAAACATGCAATACTGGGAAGTTGCTGTACATTACTTTTAAAGATACTAAGTAAAGCTAAAGTCCTTCTACACTGCTATGTTGATATACCTTCAGTATACGAGAAGTATCAGTGAAATTAAAGAAAACTGATTTCAGAATTCAAGTGCAAAACTTGCTTAAAACTGCAGGTTGGAAGCCAAAATTAGTAGCACTAAAATCAGCCTGAGATTGAGCATGCCTGCAGTTAAGATTTGTAGGGACTCCAAAACAAGAACTTTCCACTAATTCTGCCAATTTAATCAACCCCCATGTATTTAAGAAACCCAATTAGCTACTGGTTCTTTAAGGCACAGTTTTTTCTTTCCAACACTCTCTGGGTGAAGCTGCAATATAAAAGTCAGCAAATAATTTGCCACATTCCTTCAGTCAGTCTACTTGAAAATCCTATGTGGGATGTCAACAGCAAGAATAAACATAGTAACAAAACCCTCTTATCTATGCCAGCATGTCCCTTACTAAAACATCTATTCTACTGAAGCACTTCAACACTGTATTCCTCAAGTTTTATGAAAGGGGAGAACATACCAATTTGCTCCTGTGAAGAATAAACAAAGGGTACCAATTTAAAGAAACTAGAAACTGTAATTACTACAAACAGCTGAGCTTAACTTACAATCATCATCACTTGCTTCTGTCTCCTCGATCAGTGTGCACTCTATTAAAGACAGAACACCTCCTGTCTATGAAAACAAAGCACATTTTTCACAGATTTTTACATTTGTTTCCATTTCTTATTGCAGTTATTTTTAAACATTGATATACTTTAAGATTTCACATTAAAGATTTTAGGAAGATACATCAATTTCATGATACATTTTTTTACTCAAGAACTGCACCCAGACAGATTAGATATAACTTTTTTCTTAATCCAACAAATCAACAATATACTCTTATGTACAATTTTTTTTTTTCATTTTTACCACACTGTGTTTTATCTCACATACAGACTTGTTCACAAATATTAAAAAAGGTAACTAGAATTTCATCTTCTCATGAATTTAAATAAAATACATAGAAGATTTTTTTAAAAGTTTGGTTATACTCTATTTACTTTGCAAAATATTTTAACTATTTAAGGGGTGAAAAGTGAGAAAGCATGCAAACAGTCTTAAAAACCTCTCAGGAATGTCTTTATCTAATTAAAATTCTATTCAACATAATCCATTCTGTAAACTACCAACACTCCTTTATTCACAAGCCAACACTATGAAAGCTTGATTCTTCACAAATATGACTGGAGTGTTCTTAGAAGAGCTTTCATCTTAAGAGAATGTGCTGTTTGACTTTTAAAAAGTATTTTCTTAGAGCTCTGGAAAATATTCCTTGGTAATTCCAAGGAGTTGTACTGGCCGTTTTATGCACTGAAAACTGATATTCAGTGCTAGCTTATACAAACAGACACAACAGAAACAAGACAAATAGGTCTTGTTTCTAACCTCCAGCTTATTAGAATTACATGCTCTTAGGAAAAAAAAATGTAGTTAGCAAGAACTTTGGCTAAATTCTATTATTTGTAATGAGCAGGAAAAGCAGTTAACTACTGCGTACCACCTTGCTTCTATCCATAACAATCTATGCAAATCTCAGGTTAAAGCCATAAAATAATGAAATATTAAAGTTGTGTTTTCATTTTGTAAATTGAGTTAGAAGGTAAAGTCTGTACCTTGAGAAGATGCAGTTTTCCTCCTGAACTTCTTGTACAAATTAAAAAATGTTTTGTAAATAAGAAGCACTGCCTTTCTCCTTCTTTCTTCAAAGATAATGATCCCAGACGAACTTTACTAAGTTTTCCCCTTTCAACTGAAGGGACTTGAATAAGGGAACCTGACAATAAGATTCAAAATTTACTGTACCATAGTAATATTTAGTGTTTAAAGTGTTAATGCGTTGAATATTGTATTTTTATTTAAGGCAGCTTTTCATTACAGTACGTATCAATATACATCAGCATCTGTTTTAAAGTCAATCCCCTTTTTACGTACAAGTTCGCTTTGTTTTTTATGATAACTAGACTCAAGCAAGTATATCTAGACAAATGCATGGCAGGATTAGATCTTGGGCAAATTCTTATGCAATTTAAACACACTAATCAAACATTGATCAGAAAATGAAGCCGGATAGCAAACTGCACTTTTGACAGCTGCTAGACTTGCAAAAGATATATTACTTAATAAGCCATAGAGGCAGAGGATGAAAAGAACAGGTTTTGAAGCAAAAGAGTTTGCACGTGTGTGCCTGTGTGCAAGAGAGATGGAAATGAAGCCCATTTCTTACCTTCTACTGCATAATTTTCAGTGCTCCACAGCTCATCTAAAATGTGTTACCAGTAAAATACTTCTGAACTGAATTGAACTTGCTTATATAAGTCTGAATTTGTGCTATGCAGAACTCCAGACTGGGGACAGCTTTGCTTCTCTGACATTTCATGCCTCAAAACCAGTCTCTGACCAAATTTCCAGATTGGTGCCACCACATGTATCACTTCTAAATCTGGAGTTAAATTTGGAGGTAAAGTGCAATTCTTCTATATATCAAAGGGAAGGATTTTATGACACAACTGGTTGTTACCAGACAGAGCAGCCAAAAGACCTCCTAATCTCTTTCCCACATCTATCCTTACTATCACCCTTACACTGGCTCTCATCTTATTTCAACATTAGCTACCTAATAGAGCTAAACCAACAGGAAACTAATGTTACAAAGAAGTATCTGACTTAATTCCCTGATATCCCTCACTTGAAAGGTCAAATAATCACCAGTGATGATGCAAAGAAAGTTAAAAGCAGCAGAACAAGCATGAGGGGATGGATATTGGCCTTTCTCTTCCAGAGGCAACAAGATACTGGACTAGTGTAGCTGTATCAATGCTCAAACTAGTGGCAAGCACGGACGAAACAATCACCCATGAAATACTAGATTACTAATTCTTATTCTACATTGTCAAATAAATTATCTTGTTCAAAGTTCACATGCAGAATCTTAAACAAAGAAATTAAAGTAACTGAGAAAGCTACTGTGCATCTACATTTTTTTACACTTAGCTCCCTCCATATATTTAATGAGCTTTAAGTTATTAATATATTTGAAACTCACACTGTCTGGCATAGCAAGATATACATCAGTAAATATGCAACAGAAAACTGTTCTTTGACAGCCAATTCACAATTAAACTAAATGCGTACGAAGTGATTTGTGTCACTGCAACAAAACAGTGAAGTAGTACTCCAGAGATTTGCAAAGGTCTGGAACATATTTTGTATTCACTTAAATTCTGACCAAAACCCACAGATACTTATTGGTGGTTGTACATTTCCTCCAGACTAAGCAGCATACCTGCCCCAACTTTGAAAGACAGGAAGGAGATCATTACCATGTGTTGGAACAGAGGCTTTTCCATTCTATATTGACTCCCTCCTAGGTCACATTGCAAGGGGAAGTATTGTGTAAAAAACAATTCCCAAGCAATCTCCCATCACGAAATTCTCAGCGTCATTTTTATTTTTCTCCTGAAGTTCCTTCTACACATATAGGGTAACAATATTCAACCTGTATGTCTTATTTCTGCTTTGCTTCTTAGAATAACAGTATCTGTAAGTATGGTGCGCTTACAGGCTAAGCTTTACAGGTACACAGGTAGAGGTAGCTTTTCTTTTTTTTTTTATCTTTCATTAGAATTCTTTAGGAATACCATATTAGTTCTGCTGAAATGGGCTGAAAGTTACTGGTATTCTTGTATGGAACTGAAATGTTATCATTTAGTAAGGTAAATCAGAATAAACTAGATGTTTTTAAATGCAGAAACGGAAAACTGCATTATTTCGCTTTGATATTCAATATTTACAGAGGGAAACACATATGCGCTGCATGGCTGACATCAAGCAAGGACTTCATGCATTCCTATCAAGTTTTTGTGATTAATGAAACTGGGCATTTGCCTACTATGCATTCTATTGCAGATTTCCTCTTAAGGAAAAGAGTGGTCACGACTGGCTGATGTACAGTTGCAGTGAGCAAGTGCACCTAATTTTAGAAAATTCATTAATAGTATAGTTTGGACGATCAGTGTAATCTCAGGAATTTTTATCCAGCTACAAACCTAAGCACTTTCAGTACTCCAGTGCTGCCAGAAGAGTCACTCCATTATGCTCTGTTCAATCCAAGAAATACAAAAGGTTGCATTGAAAAAAAAAAGAAAAAAGAAAAAAAGCTTACATTTTTAACTGCCTGATTCACAAATTCAAAGTTTGTCTTTCTCCATTCTGGAGGTCTTTTAATTTAACCATAAAGATGGTGTGTCAGTAACAATAGATAATGGTCCCTGGTAAAACACACAAAAGTAGAACAATACTGTCTGGCATGGGTTGTGGGAGCATAATCTTGAAAATAGGGGAGTTAACACCATTAATAGCGAAAGGGAGTCTCATACCAGTTGCAAGACACATGAGATAATGGTCCTTGGTGTCTCCTTCCTGACAATCCCCTAAAAGTCCCGACCTCCAGCGACCCTTTTGGTACAGCTGGCTACTCCTTCCAGTGTAGGCTGCCCCCCTACGTCAGAATGAGTGTGCATTTTTGCTAGTATAAAAGCCCGAGCCTCATGCAACAGGGGGAGGCAGAACTTCATACTGCCGAGGTCAACGTTGCCTCTGCAGGGACGCCCACTAAGGTTGAGCCTGCCAATTCACACTGTGATGATGTCTCTCAAAGCTCGTTTCCTGATCGTCATCATGTGGTCTTTGGGGCTGGTAAGATAAACACTCACCAAAAACACCCATCACCAAAAATACCCATTCTTTAACCCTTTGCAGGCTCTTTCTCCCTATCTTTCTGTATAATAATAAACTCGTTTTTTTTATCTATTCTGTCTTGCCTCTCTCTCAACCTGGAATCCCCAGACTCTGGAAGAGATGGTCAAACACTGGAACAGGTTGCTCATTCCAAAAGGCTGTGGAGTCTCTATCCTTCAAAACAACCAAAACCTGACAGGACATGGAACAGAGCAACCTCCTCCAGCTGATGATGCTTTGAGCAGGCGAGACTGGACTGGATGATTTCCAGAAGTCTCTTTGAACTTCAACTACTCCATGATTTTGTAATTGTGATGTATTTATCAGTAAAGCTGAATTAATAACAGTCAATGGCAGGAATATCAGACAGAGTGTTTAAAGGCATCTAAAGGGCCTTGAGATGCCCTGTTGTCTGCGTGTCAGCCAATGTTGGATTGCAGATTGGGACTCCATATGTTTCCTTTAGACTCTAAAAGAAAATGTTCCTTAATTGTCTGCCAAGACTTGCAGTGTGCCTGGCAATGAAGGCTGTATCTAAGCAAGAAACAGAGAAAAGCAGACATAAAGGGGAATCCATGATCCACATTGCAAAGCACTGTCAGAGATAGTTCCTATGGTCTCAATTTGTATAGCTCAACAGAATCAATCTCTTCTTAGAAAAATAAAATATATAAAACATAACAAAGTTGTAGTCTGCCTTCACAGAAAAAGCCTGAAAAAAAGGCAAAGGCACATCTTTCCTTTTTTAAGCTGAAAAGTGGTTTCCTGTACCAATCTACAGTGCTCAATACAAAGAATAGGAGCATAATCAAAAGTAGATGAGGTGCACATCACAGTCAGAGTGACCCTACTGTCATGTGTGAAAGGAAAAAGCACTCTGTGTTATTTCATTAGCTCTATTCAGATTTTTGCACTCACACAAAATCACATGCAGTGGATGTTGCAAAAGCCTTCTGTACAGCCCCTGTAACCTACAGTCTTATCCCTCATCCTTTGACTGTATGCCCAGAAAGAAATCTGAATTTAATTTACTTAAACTATTTAAGTTTGACCAAAACGAAGAGTTTGACCTGGGTCTAAGCCTTCAACAGTAATCTTATTCAGACTGATTCCCCAGAAAAAATAGTAAGATTTTACTGATGAAGCATTTGGTACACAAACAAAATAATACCAGTCAATCTTAAGAAGGAAAGCCCCAACAAATACATAAACATAAAATATTGTAATCACCTTGAAAAAAAAAAATCAAAAATTTAATTAAATTTCATGGTTAAAGTCAATCTAGGATTATCACAGCCCTATAATTTTTTGGCTGTGGATACAATACAACAGCTCTATGCTTTCCTTACAGCCATATGCATAACTCCTTAAATTCCTCAGTTACAACAAATATACATTTAATGAAGACTCAAGAAATTTAATAGTGACTGTCATACAAACAATCTTGGAAGTTATTACAGAAAGTTTCATAGTTTGGCCACATGACTACAGAAACAGCATAGAATAGATTTCAAAATGTATACAAAGCCTATTAATTACCAACTGTGTATGTAGCTCTATTAAATACCAACTGTTCTGCTGAGGCTCATGAAAAGACCTCATGAAAGGATGCACCTAAATTACATTCCTAATGCGTTTCAGACATTACATATAATGCTTTTCAGACACAAAGAAGCTTTTCCCAGTCAAAACCCTATGCTACATACAGATCTGTAGTTACTGTATACAAAACTACTAACTTGTTTTTAAAAGTTCCAGAAGGAAATTATACATATGGGAGGGAAAAAAAAAAAAGGTAAATCTCACCAAATAAGAAATGCAACCAGATTGCAGTTCCTACTAAAAAGCGACATTTATTTTAAATGGAAGAGTTATTTTACCACAATTTTGTGGAACTTAACAACAAGTTCTTCTGCTGTAACTAAATTTCAATAAAAAGAATTTCCAAACCTGCCAAGAATAGACAAAAATGAATACAGTATGGCTCTTTCCCTCTTGTTTTACTAAATAATGTATCAGTAGTCTTACATTCCTGGCAGAACAGGAAGCCTTTTCTGCATGAATTCTTGTGTACAAATGCTTTTTATATCTATCCTAAACTTCTACAAAAGCCCAAAAATGAGCATTTCAAGGAGCAAAATGAGTATGCTCAGCTACAACATCCATGGTCACACTGTCATTGAGCTGTTTTCAAAGCACCAAGAAAGATGGGAGCAATTGACAGCTCTTTTCTTTCCTACCAATTACTTTACCACTTGCAAAGCTTCAAGTTTCTCCTGCACTTTTACCCAAATGTTGGTATCAGCTGGGACTGCCATGTTAACTGGCTAAGAAGCCCTGGTCTCTGGAGCTGTAGGTAATTTCTACCCCTTTGAAGATCACTGTCCAGGCAGAATCTACGTTACTGTCCCATGAGTGTTATACTTTTTATGTGCTGTTGGTTTTCCTGGTTCTTAAAAAAAGAGCACAGAAGTGAGGTTCCACTACAGCCCAGAATTAGTTGTCATCAGCGTATTTTGTGACTTACCCTCCACAGACCACCAATAGTCTTAGGATGTTAGCTATGCCCAGCAGTGACCTGATGAACCCTGCTGGGTTTAGTACAGTTTTGTCATTATTATATAGATAGCTTTAAAAAAGAATGTCTTACCTTGGCGTATAAAGGTTTGACTGGTATCTAGTAATATATCACAGCCTTCTACTATTGTTCTTTCTATGGCTAGATTCTTCCGGATGTTTTCTGTGTCGCTCACTTCATCATGCATCACCCTGTTAGACACAATACAAAATGCACTTTAAATTCTGTAACGTATCTTATACCTGTTGTGTCCATTTTCACTTGGACTTACACAGCCAGCTGCATATCCATGCAGTACGTAATCACTGTAGACCAAGCTTCTTACCTGTTTTTTCCCTCCCTTTCAAATAATTTTTGCAGTAATTGATTTTTTTTAGCAATGGAAACGATTTTGTTAGACTTATTTTTAGATTATTCCTTAGAACATTTGGAAGATGCCACCAAGCTAAAAACCCTTCACTCCTGGTAGAACAGTACTTCTTGATCCTTAATAGACTAGGCTGCTATGGCCCTGGAAGTGTTTCTTAGCACTTTGTGTTAGCTATATAACACATTGTAGAGTCTCTGCCCATGACTTAAGGTTCCCACTCTGCTCTGCTTCAGTTTCCATCTCAATGTACTATTCACTTAAACCTTGATTCCAGTAACAACCACACGAATGCTGTTGACGGCTTACCACCTACTTTATTCAACTTACTTTCACAAGCAACCTTCTCTTACACAGAGATATATAGACCTTTTTCAAGGCTAAAACCAACCCAGATGTTTATACAGTGTTGTGATGCATAATATTTTCCTAAATTGGGACTGGACTGCATTATCTGAAAGCTCCTCCTCCCTCAGAACTATACTAAAAGGATCGAAATTAGTCACAAAGTTTTGTACTTATGGTCTATAGTGCTTGCCTTATAAACAGAGAAAAATCAATCAGTCTCAGCCTCAATTTTGAACAGTCAGTGATAAGTTAGTTGGCTCAGCAATGAACTCTGACTTCTGAGTTGAATACAAGTCAAAGCTGATTGATCTGCTTATGTATAAAACCCTGCCCAGAGAAATTCTTTGCTTTGCTTGAGTGGAAAGGAGTCATTACTTCCTTCTACTTCAGATGGCCTTGGAACAGGGCAGAACTTACTCAACACCAAAGGAATCAAACTCAAGCATTTCTGTAAAAGATACTCCCTTCACCACTCTTCAAGAAGTTCAAGCTTGGAGAGGTGACACAACATGATCTGACTCAGATAGCTGCCTCTGTTAAATATACAGCAGGACCAAAAAGGAAAAAATAATAAGCTCTAAATTAACAAGTGGCTAGCACATGGTAGCAACTTTGTCTTATCAGAATAAAGAAAACTGAGCAGTCAAGAGCATGAAATTAACAAAAACTATAAATTGATCCCTATTTTACATATTAAATACTTTACAACATATGTAAAGTATTTACATACTTTGGGAATATTTAAATATTTCCAAAGTACATTCTTGGTGAATACTCCAGATACCCTAGATTTATATCCTGGAGTTTATGCAGAGTTTCTTTGTTCACAGCAGCAAACTTTGTCTCCCAGAGATAACAACCAAATTTCTTACTGGGCTGATAGAGGCGAACACCCACGAACGGTATGGGAGTTTAGGGAAGAGCTTAATTTTGCAGGTTTCTAGAGGGAGCACCAGTTCTCTAAAGCTATCTTTAATTCCTGTTTATCTGGCATTATCTGAAGCATATGTGAAAATCACTTATTTCATTAATGCACATAAACTATAACACAGATTGAGAACTTGGTACTTTTCAAGACCCCCTATCACAGAGTATCAAAAATGCCCTCCTTTAAACTGTAAAAATGTAGATATATTTCTCTATATAAACAGAAGTGCTTTGCTCAAAACCCAGAAGTAGGCAGTTCCTATGGCAACTCAGATTCTCCCCTACCCAAAATACCAGTACACACTTGTAGATTTACGTTAGCCAAACAAAAAACAGAAGAGACAAAATAGTAGGATGGAATATTTGGGGTTTTATTTTTCATTACCTTTGTTTTGGTTTGGTTTTGATCCTTTTCTTCAGAAGAATTTTTTTTTAAATTATTTTTAAAAAGAACAAAACCAAACCAAAATAAAGAAAATAGATTTTTCATTTCAAAACCTTTTGATGCAAGATTATCAGGCATTAGAAAGGTAGAAAGATAGAAAAATCTTACCTTGAAAGTTCTTCTAGTTTAGATTTAGCAAATTCAAGGCTTTTTCTCTCAACATGTTCATGAGGTGTGTGAGCCAGTAGTTCATGAAGTGATATAATATACCTAGGAATCTTAAAACAAATTAAGTATGAAGTAAGTACATCTGTAAAGGAATAACTCCAGTACAGCTTTTTGCTAAATATTAGCTATTACCTTTATCAGAAAAGTTTTGCAAACACAGTATTTTTTTAAATGAATATTCACAGCTACATGATTACTACATACATTCTAAATGTAACTATTACTGAACTTTTAGGTGACAGAGACTGTGTATGTATATGTATGTTTTCAGTTTGAGGAAGCACAAGATTCATTTAATACATTCTAAAGAAAAGTTCAGATCAGAGGCAGCCGCAAGTATGACATTAAATTTCATTGTTTCAAGCTGCTATGCTACTGCCAATAAAGAAAACTTTCAAAACTCCCTGGGAGATCCACATGCCTTCTCTCAATTGTAATATGATATGTGCATCTAAATTTCTTGTGTTTGAAAACATCAGCCAACCTGCTTGCATTTAGAAAAAACTCACATTTCACTAATGGACACTGAAAAATATGCCATATTTGGTTATTAAAGACTATAGGGTAACACAATGACCCTGATCCATTTATTATTACTTGAAGCAGTTTCAGGGCTTTTAACCAGAAACAAGAGATACTGCAGTATAACTTGTCTTTACAGATAAAAGTTCTTTGTGAGAAGGAGATGTGCCTTATTATGATGAAATTAAAAGTCACCAGCAATTATATCCTCCATCACATATGAATAGGATCCTCTCTCTCCCTTCTAAGATCCCATGACCTTCTTTTATCTTAAACAAAAAATCCCCAAACTGTGCAGCATATAAGCTCTACATTAAAAAAAGAGAAATTGTTAATAACTAGCACTAACACAAGTATCACTGACACCGAGGGAGTTCACTATTCTCTTGATGAGTAAAATATTAGGTTAAATGTAAAAGGCACAAAACCATCAGACCAGTGTTTCACAAACCTCTTAAAACAGCTGCAAGTTACTAATCCAGGCAGATCAAGACAAAATATCAGGATAAATAAAGTTCTTAAAACTTCTGCAATATAATTTTCAAAACATCAAGAAACAGAACAAAGAGAACAAAGTGTCAGGAAAGTTTCAAAATGTATTCCTATTAAAATGTTTGTGGCTGCCCTAACTTGCTATACTAGATACATTATCCCTCTCTGGCATGTTCCACAATCCTGTAGCAGGCAGAAGTAGAGTGATTGTTTCTCAGCTTTTTTTCTTTTAGTCTTCATCCCACATTCTCCTTCAACATACATAAGATTCTCAATAGACATGAAACAGTGCAGTTGGGGAAAATATCTGTACAGGCAAAGGTTCAGCATAATAACAAAATAAATTAAAAACAGAAAGTGGTTTTAGTTAAGCAAGAAGAATCTTCAGTCAATTGTAATGTCAGCAACACAAAATGAATCAACCAAGCATTAGAAACAAATAGTCACAGAAAATATACAGAGACTACCTGAAACATGGGGTAAGTAAGGAAAGTTTCCAGCATTCGCCCCTCACATGCTGGGTTGGCTTCATATTGCTTCAAGAGTTTGTCAAAATCTCTGTTTTGCTTACAGTTTGCCAGTACTTGTAGACTATATTGATGATTCCGAACAAATTCTTGATATATGTTCAGCATTGGCAGTAGAATGTCAAATAGATCAGCTAGAAAAAGTCAAGAAATGCTTTTTTTTTTTTCCCAGCTACCCATCTCTTGAAAGATATTTTTAAAGAAACTACTATGTTCTATGGAAGTGAACTACTATAATCAGTTCTGTTTCAAATACACTGATATTTCAGAAATATTCAAGTTGGCTCTTTTACCTGCCTAAACATGGTTGCTCTGTTTACCTAATAACCAGACAATATCACAGAAAGTTCCAGAGCCCATGTCTAATCAAATTTTAGGGCAGAGGCATTCTCACATATCAACTGGAACACAGGCATTACCGCCCGCATAGGACTCCCATTATAACAGATCTTGTGGTGTTAGTTCTGGAAATGCGTTTAATTCAAAGAGGACTTTAGAAAGCCCTCTTTAAAAAAAAAAAAAAAAAACACCAAAAAAAAAACCACCAAAAAAAAAAACCAAACAAAAAAAAAACCAAACCTAACTGCAATTACAAAACTAAATATGAAAATTGTACCTCTAGATAAAATATAGTAACTTACCTAGGATTAAGGTAGGCCAGTTTGCTATTCTTGCTTTTAACCCTTGGTGAAATATCTCATGAAGAAACATGATAGTTTCACTGAAAAATAAGTATTTAAACAAAAAGATAATTCAGGTTTTATTTTCTGATTAATAATTCACAGAAAAACACCTCTTTTGGTTAATAGTATGTTTTGCATCTGAAGATAGTTATTATTAAGCAAGTAAGCTCTTACTTTTGTTGCATGGATTAAAAATTTGAGTGTAGCATACCTAAAAAATACATAGTATTCGGTGCATAAAGCATATTCTGTCTGTTTAGATATTTTAAATAAACTCATCTATTAAATAACATTCCATAGTTTCATGAATAGGTTTTCTAATATCCTTGAAAATGCATTCAATTGTTTTAGAGGACCAGTAAGACGCAGAAACCTCAAGCCAATGGTAGTCACCTACAATCTTGCTTGCAGCTGTTTAAGACCTGAAGTTTACAACTTTTCTGTAACATCAATCTCAATACTGTATTTTAGCCTATGAGGTCAACAGAAGTAGGGGACATCCCAGTTTTAAGAAAAACCATAGACTATAGTGATCGTGAATGAGCTATGAAAGGGAAACTTGTCTCATAACTAAACAAACATATTTCATTTATTAGAAGTTTGGGGCGGACTTGGATGCAATCCCAACCCTGTATCAAATGTTTGATGCCTGCTGGCTTTTTTGTACATACTCATTACTGCAGTACTTAGATGCCTATTGCAAAGAGCAATTCGTTTTTTTGTAGGCTATAAAAAGACAAGTGAGAGGGAAGGAGGCTCCTTAGGCTGGACAACAGAAAATAGAAGATTTGATGCACTCTCCTCAGGGTCTTATCTGGATCGTATAAGGCCACTAAGTCCGATTTTGATCTCTTAAGAGAAAAAGAAACAGGAAAGGTGGCAGAAAATTATAAGAACTGTCCCAAGAGGCACAATTTGTCATTTGTTCTTTTTTTTTCCTCTAGCAGAGGAAGAAATAAAATGTAAAAAGACAAAGAGGTCTAGCTGGTTTCAAACAGCATCACCAACAGCACCTTGCCTTTTACCCTGGAAACATTGTCTGTCTCAGTGACATTGCTTCCATTAGAGCAAAAAAAAACCACAAACAAGCGCCAGACCTCACTACTGTAAACTGAAGGAGAATGGGAAGAAGTGGTCAGCGAAACTCCCAGAAAGCAAACAAAAATCCCCATACCTGTTGAGGAAAATGCTACTAACATCATCGTGACTGATAGGTGGCTTCTTTGAACTTGCAGCCATTCTTAAGGGCCGCAGAAAACAGTTCACAAGAACATAAAGTTGATGTACATATTCAGATTCAGCCTCCACCATGTTAAAAACAATCTGATTCCTTTTTCTCATGCTTTCTGCATGGGGAGAGCAAATATAATCTTGGACAATAGTTTTCCATTTTCTTCTACATAACCACCCCCGCATAAAGCTCTGGACCTAAAAGTGAACCGAGCAGAAAACAAGAATCAGAAAAAACATCACATAAATTATCATGAGCTCTTTCTTGTAGAACCAGGACTGTAAATGAAATACCTCTGTTTAAAAACCAAACAAACAAGCCCTTATTGATCTATAATTGTTTCTGATTTTTTTTTTTCGTTATTAAATTTTCTACAATCATTTGGTCATGCTTGTTGCCAGGAAACAAACTGAGATGATATTCCATCCATATCAAAGTATATTTTACTGCAAGATCAAACATTGTACATACTTTTCCCATCATGCACAACCATGCTACACACTGTGCAGGCTTTTTATCTCCTTTTACCTCCCTTTACGCATTTCTCTTATAACTCCTACAGTACTGTGCAATGCTTCCAGGTAACACATTTCAAGACAGACATCTTTGCTGACATAATACTAAAATAGCTGTTTACAGTTTTGAATAGAAACCACTTAGCATGTGTATTTAAAGCTATGTATATACTGCTTAGTACCAGACACCTAGGCCAGAAATATTACTATGAAGAAGAAACAGATTTTTGGCATTCTTAAAAAGCACGTCTGTGTTCATGGAAAAATCTACTTAAGCGTAATACCCATTGAAGTTACAAGTAGATTAAAGATTACAGAAAAGGTCTATATATGATCACAGAAAATTTCTGTATGTCTTTGTCCTGATCTTGATGTGGAGATCATTCCTCTCGAAAGATAAATGCAGAATCTCACTGGTAGCAGTTTACTTTGAATAAATAACTTTTCAAAAAGGGTCCAATTGTCAAAACAATCAAGATGCTGTGAATTGCATACAAAATCAGAGCTCTCCTTCTACTAAAAGAGAAATTTCTAGCTTCTCCTACAATGCTTAATCCACGTGAAAATGAACATTCACACAAGCTTAGTGCTGACCCTGACTTAAGACCCCATGAGCCAGAAAAAGTCACAAACTAAGTCCACATCACATAAAGGATATTATGCAATTCAAGAGACTGAACACTGTGAGAATAAGGGTAACACGTATGGAACCACATCTTCTAGGGTGAATTCCATTCATGCTTGAAGATGTGATGAATTCCACTCATGCTTCTTCACTAGAACTTGAGAGAGTCCTTTGTGCCCTTTGATGGGCAAAGTTCTGGAGGCTGGTTATAGCCAGTCTTAAGCAATACTGCCAAAAGCTGCACATGTAAATGCCATACAGAGTTGGACAATTCTGTCCTTGGTATGAAGAACACTGGCCATAGTATCCTGAAACAATTGCCATCAAACAGAGCAGGGGACAACCTAAACCAGTCTGCTCTCTGCATTTGTAATATTCGCATTCCGGCTTCAGTGGCAGAATAAAGGTCATTCTCTTACATCTTTATAATCATTTTCATAAGAAAGGAGTATAAAGTCATTCTGCACTTGATTCCCAGAGCACACAGCCCATGACTTAACTTCAGCCTTAACAAGCTGTTGAGCAAAATGTGCAAACTTCTTTAAGAAACTGAATATATATCTTGCAAGTAATAATGAATACATAAGTAACAAATACACCATGGGATAAATGTGGCACTGAAACATAGGAAGCTGATGTAATTTGAGGTTTAAATAAGGGCAGAGAAAAAGGAATCTTGCTATTTGACTGTACTCAATGAAAAATAAATGAAGACAAAACTAGACAGATTAAAATACAGAAGTGCACCCCCATCCCACCCTTTTCCTCTTAAGAAAATTACCTTTTTAATTTTTTTAATGTCTGGGTTCTCATCTTCCTGGTTGCCTTGATAAGGCCGCATTCTTTCTTTTGTTTTGTTGAGAGCTACAATCTGACAAAAACAATGATTCATTAAGTGCTCTCTCAAGCTAATGAGATTCACAGTTACAGAAGCAACAGAAAATATATATTAAAAATATTGAAAAAAAAAAATATTCAAAAATGTTGAAAAAGCATTTAGTCAAGGGTTCGCAGGGAGACTATCACTTATTAACCTTACTGGGTTTTGTTATTTTCACAAATATTACAGAAATATTGAATATTATTGCAATGCACAGAGCAAAATGTTATAATTCATAGAAACACAGATTGGTTTGGGTTGGAAGTGACATTAAAGCTCATTCAGTTCCAACTCCCTGCCATGGTCACGGACACCTTCCACTTGACCAGGTTCCTCCAAGCCCCATCCAACCTGGTCTTGAACTCTTTTAGGCATGGGGCAGCCACAGCTTCTCAGGGACTGCTTGATGGCTGTGGCACATACCTCAGATTTAAGTCTTTCAATTTCTGTGTCTTGATCTTCAAGCTGATGTCGAAGCTGATTAGCTGCAATCTTTTCAGTCTCTACAATCTGGACAAGATGAATGTACTTCTGCATTAACACCTCCCTTTCAATCAGAATATCTGAATAACTAAAAGAAAAACATTTACATTAGTAAAAATAGGCTACTATTGTCTTCCATATCCCCTTATGAGATATTGTCAGAATAAACATTGCATCAATGACAAAACTGCAAAACTGTATTTCTTTGTCTTAATATAAAATTAATAGCTTGGTCCTAAATCCTCCAAACTTACAGTGTCCAATATCCTTTGTAGACATAGGTGTACTGGATTCACAGTACCCAGTTACTGAAAGCAAGACAATTGCACCTATCTTTTTTATGAGTTTCTAATCCTCAGGCTAAACCCAAGAGTTCTATTAATTCAATTTTTTATGTTAAGGGCTGCTTTCCTCCCTCCCCCATCCTTTTGGGAGGCGACTCATCAGAACTATTTCTAATTCTCTCTACCTGTCATATCCCTTTATGGAAGAATTCCCATCACAGAATCATAGAATCATGGAACACTTAGAGTTGGAAGGGACCTTCAAAGATCACCTAGTTCAACCCTCCTACAATGAGTGAGGACATCTCCAGCTAGATCAGTTTGCTCAGAAAGAATCACATCCAGCCTGAACAACTGTTACTTCAATTTGCTAACACCTATTTTATTGTTTAGCCCAGTTTGAGCTTACTCAAATAAATGCATTTATTCTAATTAGTCACAGGAACCATGGTATCAGGTGTTTCTTTTAGCTCTTGGGCAGCAAAATGCCATTGATTTATATTTTCCTGAAAAGTTATGGTATCCCTAATGCAATTAGGTATCACAATCAGAGCAGTGATAAGCATCATACTGGAGGTACTGTTCACATCTTCAGGTAAAGGAGGAATCAGTTTCTTCCTATGCAACTTCTTCATCAGACTGCTCTTCCATGTGATTCAGCCCCTCTCATACAGACAATTTAAATGTGCAGAAACCACGTGCTTGTTTGCTGGTCTTTATTCAGCAAGATTTACAGACACAGACTGCCTCTTTACCTGAGTTTCAGGAACCTTATTCCCCTGAGAGTTAAATAATTTTACAAGATACAGACCAACCTGCACAAAACACAACAGAGCAAAGCCCTAAATCTTTGATAAGGGATCTCTTTCTCTTTTATGATCTATGATTAAAAATGCTGACTATCATATCTTCTTCCACTGTTCAATTAGCAAAGGATTTGACAAAAGAAATTTCTGGATTGCACATCTTTTCCTCTTAAATTTCTTTCTACTTCTTACAGCACTCATGAAACAAGTAACATTTGCTATTAAATACTGTGAGGCTGTTAAAAATGTAATTATGAACATCCTCTACAGTTAATAATTTTTTATATATATATATATTTACTTCCACCTCAATTGGTATTAGAGCAGTTATATACCGGAGGGGGCCAATATTGAGTACAGCTGTTAAATTCAACAATTAACCTGGCAAACAATCTTAGGTTTTTAAAAAATAGAATAATTTCCCACAGCTGTCATAAAGCAAAAGTTTTTCCTCCTTGAACAGATTATGAAAAGGATAAGAAGTGAATTTAATTCTATTGCATTTATTGTCATATTTTGACTACTGCAACAGTAAACAATAAATGACAAAACAAAAGCTCACAGCATCTCTTCCAACAAGTTAAAAAACACATGTAAAAAAACCCTGTCATTAAGTAATCCATGTATTTTAACTGTGCAATAAACAGTAATAAAGTGTGAGATTTAGTTCTTTAAAATTGTTTGATAATAATCTTTTTTTGTTTCTCAAGAAACCTGTTTCTTTCAGAAACCATAGTACATAATTTCTTTCTACCATAAGGGATATTTGTACATGATAAAAAAATGTCTGGGTTAGATATACAACACTGGTCGCTTTACAATGAGAGATGTTAATGAAGACAAAAATATATGTAACATGTGCAAGAAAATGCATTCCTTAGTACCTGCAGCACCATCTTGATTTACATTGAATATAAAGCATAGTTTTATCCAGATGCAGATAGGTGACCACCTTTTCTTGTTTGTTATTTTCAAAATTTTCTTAAACTTTTGCTACCAAATATTTCCAATACAGAATTTGACAGATTTGGCTTTGCTTTATTCAAGAAGCAGGAAATTAGTAGGGCACAGAATCACAAAGGGTGAACATCAGCTGCAGTCAGAGATGATGTAAGACTCGAGGTACTATTATATATGATGTTTTTCTTTCACTTTTTTTATTTTCCTCCTTTAGGGGAAGAAACTTCATCGAGGTTTTTCAGTTTCTTTAAATGCATTAAGCCAGATTTCCACAGTCTTGCTTTACTAGGGAAAACGAACTTTGTTATGGAAGACTGAAAAGGTTTTGTACTTTTGAAATATATGCAGAGTATTTTGCCTAGTCAGTGGCTTTGGCTGTAGAAAATGTCAATCTCTGCCTAGAAACCAAACATTTCCTTCACTGCCATAATGAGCAGTACGAAGAGGAGTTAATTAGAAAAGCCTATGTACACCTACACTATCTTAGAATAGGCTATTCATTTTCCTTCTCAAAAGTGCTACTTGTTCTGGGAAAGGAAAATCCTAAGATTCTGGAATAAACTTCACGTGCTTCCAACAGCCCTTTTCAACCATCTCTCTGTATGCATGAGTTAAAGATCATCATGCCCCAAGTGCTAACCTGGATATCCAGCATAGTGTCAGGAGCCTTTCAAGAGTGCCGGATTTCAATGCTGACTTGATTACACATGCATACAAACTCCTTTGTTAAAGAAAAGTGTACCAAAGTGTTCAAATGCCAAAGAAGATGAAAAAATCATAAAACAACTTGTAAGCAGCCAACTTAAATCTAGTTTTCTGGCTTGGATATCATTTAATAGAAAGAAGCAACTGCTGTGAACCACAGCTTTCTATGAAAGGCATTAACATTTCATTGAGAGAATGTGCTATAAATTTACAATAATATCTAGTAAGACTCAAAAGAAGGAGTATCATGAGAGCTGAGGCTATACTTATTTCCTACTATCATCTGTAGAGACAGGACTCAAAGGAGTCCTGTACAAGATATTTCAAGAACCTTAAGCTCTGCTTGACCACTACCTACCACTCCTAGAGACAGGAAGACTTGAAGAAAGTCCTGAGAGAAATGATGCATCATTTATGCCCTGTGAGAGCCAACATGTTGAGAAAATATAGAAAAATGTATGAAAGTTTAACCAATGCCTCATTATTAGAATCTCCTTGTTGTGGTAGCAGACCAAGATAAAGGTTCCAGTAGCGCTATCAGCAAATACAATTGATTTTTGTACCAAATTCAGGCCAGAGTTATGGTTCATTGGATCACTCTATGCTAATTGTACTGAAGGCAGGTGCAAGAATCAGGCATTGGTCATATCAAATCATCCTTCTGAAATGCAAAATGGACAACCTAATGAACTCTTTATAAAAGCCATGCAATATGGCTGTGGGGATCTGGAAGGTAAAAGAAATGGCCTACATCTTCCCATGCAAATCATATTCAGGCAACTAAAGGACTCCTTAACAAAGGAGGTTTTAAAGTCTAATGGTAAATGAACAGCCACACTAGAGGTGGAAACAGTAAAAGTCACAATATAGTTTACACAATCACCCCCATGACTCTAACCAAGGTGACCTGAGGGACTACCTGTACCCAAGAACTATTAACTTTCATTAACTCCTGTATGATAGGGAAATCAAAGGACACCTATGTCTGTGAGGATTACAGAGATGAGGTTTATCAGAAAATGCAAAATTAAGATGGGTTTTCAGATATGCATGGACAACTGTTTAGAAAGGCTATTAAAGAGGTTGTCTGCTGATTTCCAGTCAAACTGGTGGGAAATGGTACTTGGACTGGTGAACAGCTACAACAGCCAGGACTTAGAGGGTGGGTAGGTAGGTATAGGGCTGTGTGATGCATGGGGGAGCATGAGAAGTACGTACCCCAAATGATTTTTACTACAATATCCATTTAGTTGAGAAAGGGAAGTACAAACTGGAATAAAGAATATTTTTGAAGGGTGGCCCAACAACCATAGGAGGTTTCATGCAGTCAAACCTTGTCAGTTAGGGTATGGCTTACTCTAGGAGCCTGGGTGTGTGGGGAGGGGAATGCTACTCTCTTGTGTAAGAATGAGACAATCATGAGAACACATCCCACTAGCTAATGTGTTACTACTCATCAGACTCACAACTGTTACTAAAACCAGGAATTCCAGTTGTCCGCACACTCCTTTATCTAGGAAAACCTGACTACAGGAATTAACCTACAAACTGGAGCAGAAAGGCACCTTTTCCCATTACACAAAACCAAGACATAAGTTCAACAGCAGCCACAAAATGCACACTAATTACAATGGAAAGGACGCTCCTTGCAGGGCAAGCTGAGACTTCAGAGAGCTGACGTGAACTTGTAGCTACTGTCTCCAGAAAGTGTGATTGGTGGGATTTCAAATGTTCCCTTAGAAAACAGCTACCACACAAACCTTCTGCACAGCTGTAATTACCAGTATAATCATTCCTTTGAAGTTTCATGTCTGTGTTACCTAAAACTGTCTGCCGACACCTACAAGCACCACTGAGGAACTTAAAGAGCCCTCTGCAGCACCAGTGAGATGTCTGCTCCAGCACAAAGACCTTCTAGGGGAAAAAACAGATTTCTATGATGTGCAGTACAAATGCACAGGAGGTACGCTCAAACCCATCAAGATGAGTCAGTGGGAAGGCTCCCCACATCATCTTTCAGGCTGAGAAGAGTTACCAGCTATAGGGTGAAAAATACTATGGGATACAGGAAAAGCATTTTGGGATTGTGCAAGGCTTGTTATGGGATGTTTAAGGATCAAAGGATGTTTAAAAATCAAAGGCAGTAAAAGGGAGGGATGAAGAAGGTTTGAGGAGGAGGAAGCTTGGAAAAATACAGAGGTAAGGGAAAAAAAGTGGATAAAGGTTCACATGTCACCAGTTTAACCAAAATAACTTGCCTGGCCATGCTCTGCACTTGATCAGCACAGCCCAATCTGTCTTCTCATTAAACTTCATTTCTAACTACTTTCCTTGGTGAGGGGACTCTGTATATACATCCATGGAACTAAAAGCGCCAGCTACTGGAATTGGGACTGAGGGGCCATATGTCCCTCTGTGTCTGCAGTGCCAGTTACTCACTGGAGAGGTGGGAGTGTGTGTGTATAGTTTGGGTGCATATATCAGTGTGTGATCACCAGCCTCTGTCATGCCTGGCTAGCTGGGGAATAGGATTAGTTGCTGGGAAGCCTGCTGTTAGGAGATGTATTAAGTTTAGGTTGGATCATCAGAGACTCTGTGATTTGATGACTGGAGGACACAGGAAGTACAACCCAGCTACCGGGAAGACCATGAGGTCAGGTGGTTGACTAAGAAACTCATTTGCACACATGTGTTTGTGCCTGTCACGGGTGGAGACAAGAACATCCAGTATAGTTACCACCTACACTGACCAAAGAAGTTAAAATAATAGTTTTAGACTATTGCATTAGATTTTTCTTGCCAACTTAATCAAACAGAATAGAACAGATTTGCTTCAGGGATTAAATTTTGTCTGCATCATGATTTAGAATTTTTTCCTTGAGTTTGTCCTTATTTTTGACAAATGGGACAAGCTTTGCAACTTTTTCTCTGTTACTATTCGTTTGATGCTAGCCCAAGATATTTCTGACCATTCTGTCAGGTTTTTGTTTTGAATTGCTATCTTACATTTTGTGTAGCCTTTTGAAGATACTTGTTTTGGTTTTTTTTTTTCTAGTATCTCAGATGTCTCAGGTAGAAATTCTAGGAGAGCAATCCCCCTACTCTTAAATTGAAAACAGGACTGTAAACATCCTGTTCTTTGCGAACATGTTGGTTTCCATGAGATGGAATTATTTAATTGCTTTCTGGAGGGTCTTATCCTCATGAGTAGCCACGGTAATCCACATTTCATCTGAGACAAAGATGTTGAGACTTTTTTCTTTTTCCTTTGCCCCCCCCTTTCTTAGATTGACATGCACAAAATACAATTTTGGATTTTTTTTTCATTACTTTTTTGCCAAGTACATGTTTGCAGCCATCAAAATCTCTTCCATGTTTTATTTGTTTTGCAAGTCATGAACAGACTGTTGAAAAAAATAACACAATCTCACTGCACCCCATGTCCCACTCTAGACAAACAGGCACTATGCATGCAAACTGGTACCTAAAGGATTTCCTGCTGTGCACTGTCCATTGTTTCTTGGAAGATTTCACTGGGGGTGGGATGTGACTGCCATTTTGAGGGGTACTCTGAACACGGTTGAGAGCTGACATGCTTTTTCTTGCTGCAGCTACATGCTACATTGCTTATGTTCCTTTCTGAAGTGCTCTATCCTCATTTGAGAGAGACTGTTTGGCTTCTGAGCTTGCAATGGGACGTGCAGTATATTTTAATATTATTATTTTGAGTGCCACATCCATACCTACTTTTCATCTCTTTAATTTTTATTTGAATTCTCAGTGTTTTGAGTTCTCAGTAATGTTCAGGGTGGCACAGTAAGGTTTGCTTCTTCTAAGTTACGTTTCTGGGCTGGAGGACTTATTCCTGGCAAATTCTAATTCCTCTGTTACTGACTGCCCCTGTTCTGGGCCTTGTTCCAGAACCTGACCTCCTATAAAAGATCCGTTTCACTCACTGGGATAGACTTTTCACCCTCTCCTACAAATTCCTCTATGGGCTTGTGTTTTTCTTTTTTTGCATTTAACTCAAAATCTTCTATGCTTGTTTTAATATGGATGCAGTACTCATCAAATTTCTCACCCATTTCTACTTTAGCTTATTGGGAAGTCTTAAATGAAGTGCTTCAGGCTGTAGTTTCATGTGTGCTGCAGTCCTGAATAATTCCACGTTGCTGCTGAAGGAAGCAGCTGTCCTTCTCGTAAGTTAACCATTCATTCCCACACCTTTACCAGCCTTTCTCTCATGCAGACACAAGTGTGAACTTAATTGGGAAACTGGTGTCCACTAAAGGGAATTAGGGTGTGGGTTTTTTTTTTTTTTTTGCCTGCTTAGTACTAATCATCTCAATTCTTCTGGGTCTGCTCAGTGACCATTCACTCAACACACCTGTGTTCATGCACAGGGGAGAGGGAAGTAGATGGGTGGGACATTGAAGAGCATGAGTGCTATGTTGGGGGGGGATGCTTCTTTCAGCTAGGTCAGTGTTTAAACTGTATGATGAGCTATTGCCTTCCAACCAGTAATTTAAAAAAAAAAAAAAAAAAAGGCTTGCTCTCAGATCTGTTATCATGCTTTATTTGCTAATGCAGGGTGTATTTTACAAAATATTTTACAGGTAGTTGTAAGCTCAGTATAGTAGCTCAGAGCTGCCTGGAAGCTCGGAGCAAATGCTGTACTACTAATGCCTTGCTGTTGGAGAAACTGCATTACCTGAGGCTTGGTGCTATAATAAAACTACAATTTTGTAGTTTCCAGTTGACTGGGAACGGGGGAGAGAGAATGAGTAGTGCCCAAAACATAGGCAAAGCAATCTCATATCTGCCTTTCAAATAACATCTAGACAGATCCACAGAACAAAGTGGTAGAGGTTGCCACAGCTGATAGGTTGACAGAGGTGAGGCTGCCACCGCTCCCCATACTTATGTTGAGCCAGAAGTGAGCTGGCCATGTAATTCCAATACATATTCATACAAACACAGCTGGATGAGGGGATTGACACAGAGAGAAACATTCAGCACTCAGCTGGGCACAGACATACCAGCAGCCTTATCCTGTTCTCACCTCAGACTGATCAGAGAGGGGAATGAAGGTATGTTAGTGGAAAAATAGATAACAGTACAGTATAGGTGCTCCCAGAAAATATCTTATCCATGCAGCCTGTCCACTTGTCCAGGAACTGGTCCTGGATGTACTCCAGTGCCCACAGACCCTCTCTAGTTACTGGTACTCAGTCCCCACCACTCAGAGATATGCATGCATCCTCCCTCTTCCTAGCACACTGTGGATCCAGTAACTGGTCTAAGACAACTAGTCTACCCCAGTAACCAGCCCTGGACCCATGTACTTCCCTCACACACCCACACCATGCACAGACATGCGCTGTGGATCCCACATTAACTGATGGACAGGTGTTCCTAAGTCTGCACACATGAACACAAGTAGACACCCAAACTCTATGCATCTCTCCTGTAACTGCCTTGCAAACTCAGTGCGACTGGTAACTAGGCCTTGAATGTTCTAGTCTCCACTGGTCACAGGCACACATGCACCACTTTCTTTCTCAATCAACCAGTGGATTTGCCAATGTGACAGTTGTACACCAAAGCTGTATTTCACTGCCTTCCACATTGTGATGGTGATAATTATTGTCGAGTAAGTTTTGGGTTGCTGTCCTTCACTCTGGAGGGAAGAAGGGCTCTGCCCTTTGCCAGGGCATTGCTGATAGTCCCAGGGGTGCACGTGGTGTGACTATTAGATGGGTGGGATAGCTCATAGCTTCTCAAGATCTGAAATAATGTGGTTACCAGAGGGCTACCATGCAAAATGTGGTTCACCTAATACCACAGCCCAGCAGGTGCTTTCCAAGAAAGGACAAGACCACATTCAGTTAGGTACCAATGTTAAGAAGAGGATGCAGAACCAAAGACTGGATGCCCAGGTGATACAAACCCTGCAGTTTTAGCCTCATTTCGCAAGTTCTAAATTATAAGGTACTAGCTGGTAGCATTCATTTTTAGCTACAAAGCAAAATCACTTCTGTTTATGTGGCTCATGTCCTAAGCAACTCAGAAACTGCCTGGTTCCTTCTGTGTTACCATGGCATTGTAGATTAGCTGTCTATTAGAGGAGGATGGAGAAAGTGCATTTCAGCAAAGACATGTGCCTCCACAAACCATTTCATAAACCCTCAGTTAGATGATCTGCATTTAGACTATACTGTAAACCTTGCCCATTCTCCATGAAGACCTGTGTCGTTGGTCAGGACTTCTGTTTTGAAGTCAAAATTGTATTTGTTGCACTTTATCATCATAATGATTTGACCTCATGTCCTGGTGTTCGCTGGGATACAGTTAATTTTCTTCCTAGTAGCTGTCACAGTGCTGTGGTTTGGCTTCTGTCTGAGAACAATGCTGATAACACAACTGTGGTTTAGTTGTTGCTCGGCAGCATTTGCTCTGATCAAGGATTGTTCAGTATTTCATGCTCTGCCAGTGAGGAGGGGCACAAGAAGATGGGAGGGACCAAAGACAGGACACCTGGTATGAACTAGCTAAAGGGGTATTCAATACAGCAAGTGGCTGTGTGGTGCTTAGCTGCCAGCTGGGCTTAAATCACAACACCTACTCTTTCTTACATTTATTTCTATATATGCGTTTTTTAAGAAACACCCATTTATTCACTTGGCATATCACTCTTTCTTCATTCTTATAATAAACATTGCCTCTAACAGAGGACTAATCCTAGGGGTTGTTTTCAGTAAGAGTCTTCTTCTTTAACCAATTTCAACTGGAATACAATCACTCAAAAATGATAAAATCAGAGAATCAGAGAATCGTAGCATGGTTTGTTTTGGGTTGGAAGAGACCTTAAAGCTCATCCATTTCCAGCCCCCTGCCATGGGCAGGGACACCTTCCACTAGACCAGGTTTCTCCAAGCCCTGTCCAGCCTGGTCTTAAATATACATTGATGTAAGCACGAATGCTAGGAGGCTTTTTTTCCTATAACATACCTATCAATCACAATACACATCTAATCCACTGTAACATTTCTTGACATCTAGAGACTGAATTTAGATTTTCAAACTTTTATCAATTTATTTACAATAAAATGGAGCTGAGGATTAAAAATCAGGTTTCATACCTAGCTTGGTGAATAGCTTCTACCCACTCATCTCCATCAGCTTCATCGTCACAACGCAGCTCCAGCGGCTTCTGCCCTTCATGGCCAAAAAGAACAGTAAAGTAATGCTGCAAATTAGAACAAGAAAAAAAAATTAGAAGCACATTTAAATAAAATAGATATATAAAACAAATTTAAAAAATCTGGAAAATCTGACTTTTTAAACATAGCCCAAAGCATTGCCAGCCTAGGAAGATGTGTTTTAAGCTCTTAGTCATGAAACATGGATTGAACTTGAAACTATATCCTTAACATATTCCCCTGTGTGTCAAGGTAATAGCTTTCATGGTACTTGTCATAAGTTACTGTTCGTAAGCTCCCATACACAAGACAACAGGATAGAATTTCCTAAGCAACTTCTACAACTGACTACAACAGTCTTACTGTAGTGGGGTGCCTGTAGTTCTTTTTCCCTTTCATTTTTCCCTTAAAATTTTTCTCTAGAAAAATGCCAGCATACCATACCAAATATGGAAATGCCACCAAAAATGCAAAATTTTAGCTAGCTCTAGCTTATTTTCTCACTTTTCCAACAGGACTAGGAAAGTGTCTCTTCTCATTCATCACAGTCACAAAACATTTTTGCCTTTCTTTCAGGAAGTCTAACTCATAATTGTCATTGCAATGCCTTTGAAAATGCTGTTCACATGAGTGTCACATTCTTTGATGGCACCTGAAGGATGTTTCTCAGATTTCCATAGAACACAGAATTTCAAGAAAGACTTTGCTACTTTCAGAATGTAGTAATAATAGCAATATCTAGTAAGGAGGTGAAAACCCTTAAAACCCATTTTAAAGTTTGTCATTAAAAACCTTACATTGCATAGCTTAAGTATTAACTTAAAGCCCCATAGCAAACAGAATTATTCCAATTCATATAAAAATAGGTGAGAAAATACTCTACCTAAGTGCATACCTGTAATTTCCATTAAATGCAGCTATTAGTAAGCCAGCTGTTTCACAGGCAGCCTGCTTATACATAAAACCATCTGGATATTATGTCCAACGTGATTCAGGAGCTCTTAATACCTAAACATCTCTGCATCAGATCACTCAGTTTTCTTCATTACCTAGAACTTCTCAGACCCTCTTTCACTGTCATGCCAATTAGCAGGGAACCAAGTATAACCGTATGTGGCAGCAATTACTTTCTGGAGTCTTAAGAGTGAACTCCAAACTTTCTACAGTCAGCAAGTCAAGTATATAATTTGCATTCTCCCATGACATTAATCATTGTGCACAGCAGTAAGAAACCTGAAGTGATGTCAACAAACATCCTGCTTTCTTTGTCAAACCCACACCTCAGCTGAAAAAGCCTCTCTGAGGGAAACACCATGCTGGAGATGAAGGAAATAGCAGCTCAGAATTAAAAGCCATTTCCAAGGCAGGAGGAACACATACATAAACTGAAACAGAAGGGATGAAATTCTACCTTCAGAGAATTGGCAGCAGATATTGTCAACACTGATAACAAATTTCATCCATATAAAAAAATTATTCCAGCCATTTAGTGGCCTCTTCTGAAACATCTGGCAGCCTGATGTACACAAACAGCACACAAGCTGGCTGCACAGCGTGTACAGGGCAGGTTCAATACACTCCAAATGTACTGGATTCACCACACTGGCTCTAGCACTGTCTGTGCACCTGCACTTGCATCAAGGTTTGTGCCTGGGGACCTCACATTTGCAAAACCCATCTGCCTCTGTGTGCATCTGAGTACACTCATACATCTGGTTTCTTTTTGGGTAATATGAGGACATTACTCATATTACGGCATTCCATAAAGAGAAAGCTATTCATTTGAGCATTGTATTGATTTTCTAAACATTGTTACGTGTATACAAAACCCCTTTCTTACAGAAGACCACAAGTACTGCAGGATTAGCCACAGACCAACAAAGCAGAAACAAGGCACAGGAAGACATGCCGTTCACATTTAACCAGGTATATAAAGTCCATACTCAGATCCACTAAGTTTTAGACACAAAACCACTCTGGAGCACAGACAAGGATCAAAAAAATCATTAAAAGGATTAAAAAAAAAACAACAAACAAGCCAACCCCCCCCAAAAAACTAGCAGAAAACCAACAAAAAACAAACAAAAATCAAACTGGGTTTGTTGTTTTTTTTTTTCCCAGTGGTCTATATCACTTAAACCTCAATGCCATGAATAAAAAGAAATATTTAATCAGGTCCATAGGAATCTCCATAGCAGTGGTAGATAAAAACTTCTATAATAATACAGTGCAGTTGAAAACAACCTACAGGGGAGTAAGTAATGCATTAAGATTAGACACAAGTGCGCTCTGTTTATAACTTGAAATGGTCTATTTTAAAAAGTATATTAAAAGATAAATCACACTGTTCAGAGCTGCATTTTATGTAACAAGTTATTTCTGTTCATAAAGCTGCTACACATAAAACTAGATTAAAGATACAAGTGTCAACAAGCACAGGATTTAATCCCCTTGTGTAGGGATACAAGTTAGAGACAATATTGCAGTCCTCCCTCCTTTTTCATTTAAAATGAAGTAACTCAGATGTCTTTTGAGAAAGGCTTAGAGGTCTGCAGTTACTTTGGTGGTAAGCATGATCTAAACACTTCTTTAGATCAAGAAAATGCACAAATTTAAACAAACAGAGGGCTACTACAGTAGGGCTTGGCTTAATGTGGGAGGAAAAAAAAAAAGCAGCTAGATTTTAAAAAGAATTTGTTTTCAGAGGCTACTTTAAAAATCATCTGCACCATCCACCCCATTCAAAGATGCATACTGCACTCAAGCATCAGTGTCAGCTATTACATCATTTACACAGAAGCAGTCAATTCTAGAGTAAGTGAAGTGCAAAAATACAACATGCCTCTAAAAAGAATCTCTAAGTCATCCTTGAATTGTCTTTTTAAAATAAATGTTACTCATTTACAAAACTAATTTACTACAAGAAAATAAGATGTGTATCTGTGATGCATTATTAGATTTTCAAGTTGACCGTGTATGTGAGTGGGCCTATATGCATATATATTTATATATAGACATATGTAATTTTATTACTGCTATTCAATTTGTTAAACAGCTTAGCTTCCTTATGACTGCAGTACAGTACAGGTAAAAATCACTTCTCAAATCACTTTTCTGTATGCACACTATTAGTTTCTCTAAGAGGTGAAACTAAATATTTAAGATCTACAGGACATATTTACATCAACTACCCTCATCATTATTCACTATGTCTGTTGGACTACACGTTTCAAGGTAAGTCTGTAGTCCAGTTGGATTTTTTTTTCTTATTGTTTATTCAAAAAATCATCATACTCAGAGAAGATAAAATGAACATTCTGTATTTTGATATTAAAAAATCATTGATTTAATTTGAAATGTCTTTTCAGTATTCAGGTATGCCCAAGCAAAATGGTAAGTCTCAGTTTTAACAAGAACATCTTTGGCAGGGAGTCCTTCAAGTAAAGCTTGCGAATAAAATAAGGGAAATTTTCATTTACGTTGTACAGGTGTGAAGGCACTATGTAGACTCACAGTCAAGGAAAAAACAATGGGATCAAGATGCATGAAGAATACTGTTGTGTATCACTTCTCTGACTTGCACCTACTGGTAATCAGAGTTTCCTCCTAGGGTGAAAAGGAAAGACTAAGGAATGAGCTGTCAGGCACCTCTGCCTCAGAAACAAAACTGGAACAGCATGAAGACCCTGAGTGAAAGAAGTCCTATGACAGAGTATGTTGATTATGCTGGGCTAACCACTGATAGAAGTTGACACCATAACTTTGTACTTATAAAACTGCCTCAATAATGGCTGTATTCAAAATAAGATATCAAAAGCTCTGAAGTTGCCACACTTTCAAAGAAAAAAAAAAAAAAAAGGCCAAACTGATATATGCCCTGTAACAGAAACACTGCTTTTAAGGCATATTGAGGTAGAGCTTCCACCAATACAGATACCCTGAGACAAAATATCCCAGCAGCAGAATGCCATTCTTTTCATGACTAACAAGAACATGTGCTGTTTATGAAGTGAGAGCAACAGTGACAGAAACATCACACGGTCCAACACACTGGTATGGTCCCACAGCTCATTCTCTTCCCTCTACCTCACATGGACACTACAAAGAACATCTCCTATCCTATCTCTGATCCCCTCTGCCCTTATAACATATTACTGTTTCTGCTTCATCCATTACTCCTTTTCATCCCCCAGTAGGTCTAGTAACCTGACATGACTTTTCCATTTGTAAATTAGGGGTGATGCTTGCAACAATTCAGTTACTGAACCACAGAAGGACCAAGAATAGACACCCATCTTCTCAAAGTGGTGCTCCTACCTGTCACAAGCATAGAAGCTGCCACCCTAGATAATAATGCTGCTTGACAACTTCTACGGCAGGTTTCTGCCTTCAGCAACTCATAAATTTAGTCAGCTTTGAATGTCCAGATAGAAAAACTGATACTGGAGAAATGACACATGTGTCAACAGTGGCTTTGTTATCTTATCCTTCCATAAGCACAGCATATAACCATTTAAATTATGTTTCTCCAAGGAGACTAGTACATTTTGTTGTATTGTGGGCTGGTAAAATATTATAGTGTGGTAATAGCTACTTTCTTAAGAACCACTTTTCCCTAAACAGAACAAATTTCATTATCTTCATAATATCCTATAAAAAATATAATTTTTAAAGCTTAAATATGTTATGACCTTGATAGATGTTATTTCCTGATCTTTTAGTAACTTATTGCACAGTCTTGGTTTAATCATTCAAGCTAGGACTACGTCAGTAATTTGAAAAGAAAATTCCAGTCATCAATATTGATAGGAATGGAGACTATAAATGCAAAACAAATGTAAAAAGTTAGTCTGTACTAAGATTGCTACCAAAAATGAAAAGACTTCACAAAAGTCTGTCTTCAGTGCAAGGCATGAGGAAGCTTAATTATCTGCTGTACCTTTAAGGCTTACATTCACTACCTGATGTTTATAAGGGCATGTTAAAAAACCTCTGAGGGTAAAAAATGTGGAAGAGAATTTAAAATGACAAGCTAAATGTATTTCTC